TTCTAGAAAGCTAGAGAAGGTCCACAGTTGCCCTTACCGCCTACACGGAGACCCAGACAGTCTGCAGAACCTGTTACGGATCTCGCGCGTCACACGTTCCTCATTCCGTATGCAGCAGGTTTCTCAGTGATTGATGGATGTGCTGCACACAGAGCTGGAAGGCCTCCGTCACGATTGAGGGACAGATGCTGGCGATGTGGATAAGGCGGTCGATGGCAGTTCGGTCTTGGACGTTTGTCAGCACAACGATGAAGATGAAAAGGAACAATAACTTACCTGTGTAGTTGGTGATGTAGCCCTCGAGGTCGAAAGGGTGGGCATTGTCGACGGGGAGAGCTCTTTACTCTCCCCCACCTATTCCTACCGGACTCCTACTGGATTCCCGGAATCCTACCGGACTGGACTAGGACTGGGACACATTTTATGTTGGCTGATCACCATACAAATTTTGTATCCTAGTCCTAGTGGAGTCCTAGTAAATTCCTACCGGACTGAACCCAAATCACCAGGAATTGTGGAATTCTACTGGATTTTTAAGGAATGAGTCCAGTAGGAGTCCAGTACAAGGAGTCCAGTAGGAGTCCAGTAGGAGTCCAGTAGGAATTTCCGGGGACAGGGAGCCCAGTAGGACCAGCAGTTTGTCACTGTTGTTGTTATTATAACATATAATAAAAAAGCACAACCTGACAGAATTGAACTCTCAACCTTATGGACATCAGGACAATAGTATAGAGACGAGCACTTTACCAGTTACACTAGAAAGGCATTATTATAGGTCATTATTATATGCTCTATATACCAACGTACTGACCTCCTTCCTAGAAAGGACGTCGGCGAATTCCGCGAGTGGGAATTTTGCCCAAACCCAACAACACTCGACAACACCACCATCACCACCCTCTTGCTCACCCACCACGAACACGTCGCCCACCACGACCACAACGGACGACGACAACACGCGACCACGACAACAACAACGGCCACGACAGACGACGACAACAAACAACCACGGCACGCAACGACGACCC